AATCCAGAGAATCATGACATACTTTAAAAATCTGTACTCCACCAAACTGGAAAACCTAAAATAAATGGATGAATTTCTTAACATATAAGACTTACAAAGTTAAATCAAGATTAAATAAGCAACTTAAACAGATCCATAATCCCTAGTGAAGTAGAAGCAGTAATTAAGTGTCCTAACCAAAAAAACTCTAGGACTAGATGGATTCAGTCTAGAATTCTGCCAGATTTTCACAGAAAAGCTAATGTTAATACTTCTTAAATTATATCACAAAACAGGAACTGAAGAACAATTTTCTAATTCTTTTTGTGAGACTACTATTACATTACCTTGACACAAAAACCACACAAAGACCCAACCAGAAAGGAAGAAAGGAAGGGAGGGAGGGAGGGAGGGAGAAAGGAAGGAAAGAAAGGAAATTATAGACTATCTCCCTTATGAACGTAGATGCAAAAATTCTCAGTAAACACTTGCAAAAGAACACATCAGAAAGATTATCCACCATGATCAAGTTGGCTTCATCCCAGAGATACAGGGCTGGTTCAACATACGGAAATCAGTAAATGTAATCCACCACATAAGCAGACAGAAAGACAAAACCATGTGATCATAAAAAAAATTGACAAAATCCAGCATCCCTTCCTGATAGAAGTCCTGGGAACATTACAGATAAGGGATATACCTCAGCATAATAAAGGTAATTTACAGCAAACTCACAGCTAACATCAACCTAGATGGAGAGAAACTAAAAATAATCCCACTGAAATCAAGAACAAGACAAGGCTGTCCATTCTTTCCATACCTGTTCAATATAATAGTCATAGTCTTAGCTAGAACAATGAGACAACTAAAGAAGATCGAGGAGATCAACACAGGAATGGAAGAAATCAAAGTATTCTTATTTGCAGATGAAATGATTTTAGACATAAAAGACCCCATCTGGAAATGTATAGAGCTAATAAATATTTTCAGCAAAGTAGCAGGACACAGAGTGATACACAAAAATCAATGGCCTTCCTATATACAAATGATCGATGGAGAAAGAAATCAGGGAAATAGTAACTTTCAGAACAGATGAAAGATAGATAGATAGATAGATAGATAGATAGATAGATAGATAGATAGA